TCAATTATTTCCGTTCAACTGAATAATTAAAAAAATTTCTCAGTGTCTCCACAACGGAGTGAAAGATTTAGGTCGTCCCTACAATTTTTTTTGGTTGTTCAATAGTCATTAAGTAATGAATTATGGAATTTACATGTGAGCGAGGCACTCCTCTGCGCTCTAATTTCTTAACAACATTATTATTAATTTTTATTCATAAAATACATCATCAGATTTTCATCATAAGAAATTGAATTGGTTTTTCACATTTTTCACATTTTCGCTGAATTAACAATTCTTGGAATAATAAAGTAATTAAGGGATTATATTCACCTCAAGACGTTCCTGCAGTGGAGATAATTTCTTTATAAACCGAAATTCTGAAAGAAAATTCTGTTGTCCATCGAGATTAAAAATCTACAAAATAACATCTGAAAATGAATTACCGCACCTAAATAATAATAATATTGAATAAAAAAAAAATCCACAATCACCAGAATTCAATGATTAACATAATTAATGTTAAGAAATTCTAAAATCAATCATTAAATTAATAATTAATGAATGAATTATCATGAGCGAGTCGATACGGTGCATGAACTGGAAAGAAATTAATTGAAATTTCGGATCAATCATCGGAATGCAATCAAGCATTCATCAAATTCGGCTAATTGGCGGACCGATCTATATCGTATTCTAATTAAATTGTCCGGAATTCAATACGCACTTGTCATCGGAATTTAGAGCTGCAAAATGTGAATCTGGTAACGGAAGAGTTGAGTCAGGTCATGAATGCATACAACAAATCGTTGGTATGAGTGTTATGTACTGGTACAACGAGGTACCGTAACTGACGATGGGACGACGATGGGACGACGATTCGACGTCAAGGCGCCCTTCTCCGTCTACCCCACCTTCCACCCCTCGTCGACGTCGGGACGTCGTGGGTTAACATTCGCGTGACTTCATGATTCACGAGTCACCACTTCCAAGTACAATATCCCTTTTGGCTGTGTCTGCCAACTGTCCCCTTTATTTTAACTTTGTATTGCTCATGGACCCTTCCCCCTCTCATCACCCCCTTTTTTTTCTGGGCGTACACTTGCGTGAGGGGGAGGACATGTCATGATGATTATTGTTGTAAACATCCGGAGAATAACCGCGGGGAAATTGACATTTCAGGGGCACGAGTTTTCTCTTTTTTTAGAGCTTCAAGGTTGGGCGATAGGGGAAAATTTTTGGGCCTCTAGACTTGAGGGAGAATGAAAATTTTGGGAATTTATCGGGTTGGAGGAGTTTTCCGGAAAATTTTGGGAGTTGCTGGATTGTAATGGAAAACTCCGGGATTTTTTCCTGGAGTATCCGGAAGAATTCTGAGGAAAAATCTATGATTTTCTGAACGACAGAAAAAATCTGAAGATCTTCGGAAAAGGCGAAATGGTTTAAGAATATTTTCAGAAAAATCCGCGAAAATTCTCGTAATTTCTCAAAAATTCTCAAAGAATTCTCTGACGTAATTATTTCATTAAATTCGTTATCACTGGAAACCGGGAACTTTTCCCCAGGAGTCGTATCAGTCTCCATGATCCAAACCCACCCCACCATGAGACTGACGAGTGCAAACAAGAGGGAAATGGCAGCAACGATTTAAAAAAGAGATGGTAATGCGGATAAAAAAATGTCTCAAGATAAAAAAAGAACTTGAGGTCGCGGAAGGAGACTTGAGAGCCGAGGCTTTCGCACTTTGTTATCGTACCTCGGGCAAGCGAATTTAACCCATTTAGTGACGATAACGATGGTCCCAAGTCTCTTCAAGTCCCTTTGGAGAACCCTCGACTTGACTCCTGGTCTGTCACGTTCAACAACCACTTTAACCTTTCCATTCCAAATCGTTAACGTACCATTTCGAGATGTTTTAATATTTCATCACTCCCATCGACCAAAAGCCAACGAAATTCCTGAAATAATCCGCTTCCCCCTATCAATCATAGAATAATTTTATCAAATCAATCATACTAATTAATTCCACCTCAATCAGCATCTGTACTACTGAATAATTCATCCACCTAATACTTCACAAACAAATAAGATCATTTTAATTATATAATTACTCAATCTCCGACCAACAACTCCTGAATTTCATCTCGACCAGAAGTTCCCACCCCAAAAATTCCCTCAAATAAAAAAAACCAATAAATTCCCGATTGATTAAAGCCCGAAGAATCCATCCACTACCTCCCCAGCTTTTCCCGAAGTCCCAGACTTTCCCGAAAACGCAAATTTCTCCGCACCCCAATTCACCCAACGACAATCTCCCCTCCCCCCCTCACCCACCCCGACCCCCTCCAAGAAACCAATTACAAACTCCGGAACGAACTTAATTTTCATTAAAACCAAGTCCCACATCTGGGTCGTCCCCAGAGCTGACCAACTCCTCAACTACTAGCCACTAAAATCGAAGGCAATCGCCAGGAGTCATGCCAGACTTATCGATTCGTCCAGCAGCACCTGAACCCCCAACTTACCCCCTAAAACCCCCCACTCCCTCATCATCCCCTCTTCCCTCATTTCCCCCATTTACCCCATCCCCCCCCCCCCTTTCTTTTCCCTTCCTTTTCCCTTTCTGCCCACCCTCAGACACACTCAGTCATATTCGACACGCCGGTATCACACCAATGCGTATGTACCATGTATATTATACATAAGGGATCTTATGTGCAAGGGGGGAACGGGGGGTGGGAGGGCTCATCGGTTTTACCACCGCTTTTGGTCCCACACCCCCTCGTAAATTCGTTGGAACTGTTTCCCGAATCAAGAGTGTCTTGGCCAGCAAAGTGGCCCCGAGGATAATTGAAAGCGAAACCCTCCCCTGGAATTCCCTCCTTGGAAGTCACTAGAGAAGGAATAGGAGGAAATAGGAGGGAATAACCTACAGTCTCTCCTCGGCTGCCATTAATTCATCGAGGTGACGGGCCGTAACGCTTTCACGATCGAGGATAGTAGTTCCACTCTATAATATGGAGTTCCTCCTTTTTTTTTTATTACTTTTTATTATTTTTTCACTGGGGTTTTGCGAATACCACCATTCCTCATCCTCTGGGTAATGAATTCATGGTGAATAACCTCCGACGTCGTGGGAATTACGCTCGGGGATGCCGAGGATTTCGGGGGCTTCAATTTGATCATTGAATTTTTTGGGGAATTACAATTGGAATTACGAGAGAGTTCCAGCAATCGGTTGTTTATTGGGAAAATTGTTATTAACAAATTGGTAATTATGACGAGAAATTGTGAGTGAAGTATAGTATGAGGAATGAAAATTCATTTTTTATGGTACGCAAGGATTAAAAGATTGTTAAATAAAAAATTGAATTATTCAATAAATTACAATAAATTTTTAATACAATTACAAGTGAATTACCCAATTCGTCAATTTTCAAACCGAAATTTGTAATTTTTAATTCAGAAAACTTGTAAAAAAGGCCATAAATTTTTGAAGACTCCATGATCTCCATAATTTATTTAAAAAATTAGAGATAATTCGGGTCCGAGCCACTCCCTGAATCAACCCCACTCCGAAAAATGAGGAAATGATAAAAGGTTTTTAATTTCACAGTCGAGTGGTAAATTTCTCGTCAAGTGCAAAAATTATAATGAGAATAAACTAAACTAAAAAAAAGGTGGAAAAAGCTTTCTTTCCTTCTAGCACTTCAACTCCTGGAGATCTGTTGTAATTTACGAGCGACACGTGATCAAAAAACCAACCACTCTGTCTCTTTCACGGACTTCTTTTCTCCCCATTCTTTGGCTCTATGGGTTAATAATTCTTTTATTACACAAATTATCTTGCGCCATTTTCTTCTTCATTATTCGGACACAGGAGAATTTTGGAATTTAATAATGCACTATTCTCGGGGGAATGGATTCTTCGGGCTTTTCTAATTTAAGCTAGCACTATTCTGGAATCTCATCCCGAATGCCATCGATTTAATAATCATGAATTTCCTTATTCGATTTGTTCGGGCGTAATCCAGTGGGTCGCACCGAGAGAAATTTATTTTAAAAATCACCCTAGTCTTCAGAAATAAACTTACACTTCAGGAATTCTCACACGATCTCCAAAAATTCACGAGCAGGAGCTCAATAAAAAATATATAAAAAAAATTCTCTACAATATTATAATATTTACAATTTTTCCTGATTGATTCAATTTTTTGTTAAATCCCCATATTTGACATCTTAATAAAAAAAATAAGATAGAATTCAAATTACATTATGTATTAAATAGAAATTAAATTGACCTTTTTATTATTGCAAATATAAAATAAATAAAACGATGAATTAAATTTTGTAAAATGTTGTCTGCAACCAGAAAAAAATAGTCTTTGCACTCACGACACATGATATATTTGGAAAAGTGGATTTTACCGTACGGATGAATCCAGCGATCCATTTACCCCAGCATTGGCAATTTTTTCAACCCTCGGATTTTCCCATCCCTTGAACATCACAAATTACATTCACCAAAGACGTGAAAAATCCTCGGGGAGTTATATTTTGCCACAGAGATGCAAATAATAGATTTATCAATCCTTCAAGTGCACACCCAAGGGTTGTGATAGTACTGAGGGGCTAGAGGGAAAATAAAATTCAATATATACTCGGCACGCTTCTAGAACATACACCAATTCAGTATAGAATATTTCATACCACCTCCACCCATTCGTATTTATTTTGCCATTTTCGTTCTCTCACTTTTGTTCCCTCGTTTCACTTATTTTTATGTTATTTTTACCCCCTCATTCTTTCTCCAACCCTTACCGTACAATATTTATTTTTCCCTCTTTTGAATTTATCGTGAGGGCATCACACACTCGGTCTGTTACGTATCCAATACGAATGCTTAACACGTAAGAACTGCACAGTCGTCTCACTGAGATGAGAGTGAACATTGTACATTGCACTCACGAATAAATGTGTATATATATATATTGAGATTTTTTTTTTCTGTTTTGTTGCAGGGGAAGTGATCGGCCAGAGGTTCCTGGGAAATGAGAGTCACGTGGAGCACTTTAAGCTTCTTGAACGGGCGCCTACTTTTATCCTGATTGGTGCTAGGTATTATCATTTGTGCATGCTCTTACGAAATTTCTTATGCTCCAGGGAAATGTGGTTTTTCTCTAGTTATGAATTGTGCACTTTGCACAAGTGCACCCGCAAAAATGGACGATTTGAATCAAATTCAGATCGTTTTACATTTTCTCTCAAGAGAAACTATTTGTTCTCGCACTAGAAGAAATTAATATTGCGATATTAATATTTCAAATCTGTTTAATGATTACCCAGTAATAGCAATATGGTTTTATGATTGTTCAGGTCAAAATTACGGGATTTTATCATCGGAAAAATCAGGGAATTGTAAATTAAAATGACTGAATCTGTGGCAAAGTTGAATCAGGATAATTGCATTTTTTTTAAACCCGTTTTCCGCGAATATCGTGGAACTGAGGCAATATACCGATATTTTCATACATAACTTTTTTGTAGCTCTCATAATTCTCTCTATAAGATGTTTATGCAAAAATGTCGCTATCTGCCTTTATTCCCCAGATATTAGCGAAACACCGGTGTTCAGAAAAAATGCACTACGAATAAATTGCAAGAAAAATCTGTTTCTCCGTAATATTTTGAACTAATAATTTACTTTACATTTTTTTTTCCACTTTAAAAAGTCTGATTGGAATATTCACTGAATATTTGCAATTCAAAAATCCATTTTTTTAGATCACAAGGAAAATATTATTTTGTAATTTATTAATCCGTCAATTTTGCTTCTCCAATTGAATCGGAAAAATTTCGCAATTGCATGGAATTTCTTTGATAATCCGATACCATTATTTCTGAAGCATGATTTCTCTTATTTTGATGACCGATATTCGCAAAAAGCTCTCCCGTTGGAAATTAAATTCTTGGGCGCCTGGAGAAGCTCCTGAAATGAGAAAGGCTATCGCTTAGTGGTTTCGATCGAGTATTTCCTTGGCTTTCATGTAAATTTTGAGGTCGCTGGTGCTTCAGCAGATATCGGTAGAAATAAGAAGCGATTCAATAAAGGACTTACGATCCACAACAAAAGAAAAGCTTTCAGCTTCTTGTCCTTTCATTCCAAGAATAAATAAATCCAAAAATACATATTCCCATGTTCTCAAATTGAGAAATCCTATTTCGATTTTGTTCCCGTGATTACTTTTATAGCAATAAATCCCTCTGACTTGAACAATCGAGAATCAGGTATTGTGACCTGTATCGACGGGGAATTTTCCGATGAATGCTCACAAATTTTACTCGAATTGCATTAAATTACTAAAAAAAATGAAAAATAAATATAACTGAAAATATTACGACTGAAAAAATTATTACTTCAGAATTTTATAACTGAAATTATTTCAACGAAGCAGATAATTTCGAAATTCTTATATTTGGTATTTAATTGTCAATTTTCGTTTAAACGTTTGTTGTACAACTAATTAAGAGCTACAAAAAAGGGGATCATTAAAAATTCGCTACTTGTCTTCGGTGCGGATATATGTTGCAAAAACTGAGGCTTCAATCGATTTGAATCATTTCATAAATTTTCAATTCTCATAAATAATGAGCCACAAACAAGAGAATAATTTACCATTTTCATTTTTACTACAAAAAATACTAGCGAAGGAAAATTGGAGGATCATGAAGACCTGGATTTTTGCATGTAAATTATTCTCGTTCCTGTTTAATTTTCAATAGCTATGGGATGGGAGGACCATTCCCGGCGAGGGAAAAATCAAGTGGAGAATAAAATTGGAGTATATAAATGCATATATATTTTTCCGCATGAAATTGAGCACGTGGGGAAAATAAAGAGCAAAAAACGGGGGTGGAAATAATCGAGGAGAATGGAGGAATAAACTGTGTGGAAAATTTTCTAGTGCCGGGAAAATTATTATTGGAGACATCCAAGAATTCAAAAGGTTTTCTCAATTCAGTGAACTTTCGGGTATTTTTATCCCGCAATCAGCGCTGAGAAAAAATTCTCTCTGCCAACTAAATTTATTACATAGAACTTAATTTATTGGACACAATAATTTAAATGGGATTTTATGTAATAATTTCTGCAATAACTTCCGGTAAAAATGAAAATTATCCTCTCGAAATTAAAAAATGGAAAAATATATTTCAATGATGAATGAACTCAATAAAAATAATCCTTTAAAGAAAATGATGTCAATCGATTAAAAATTTAAGTTTCAATGGAACAACTAATTATCATAAAAAAATTCCATTGAAAAATTAATGATTCCCGTGTTTCCAAGATAATGCAATAATAAATTGAATGAGAGTTATAATAAAAATCGAATATAAAGTCACATAATAAAAAATTCAGATTAGTAACCGAAGAATTTCGCAAAATTTAGCAAAGGTGCGAATAAATAATGAACCCCCAAGATGATCTCAACGCGCGCAAGTGCATAAATAATGCCGAAGGGTTGGGTTAAGGGAATCCTGGGGATGAAAAGAGAAAGAGGGGGAAATGGCGAAGGGGTAGACAGGAGGGATAATCAATTTCACGTCGGACCGCGAGGTAAGCCGTCACGATTCGTCGGATAATGGATGCACACGTTTATCACGCGGCCACGTACCACCAAACTCGATAATTATGCATGGGGCCCTACTAATTGAGGAAGATCGATGAGTTCGCGATGACAGCACCACCCACCCACCACCCACTCTCCACCCACTCTCCACCCACTGCCCCCCTATTCCCCCACCCTTCATCACCCCTACGTCGCACCCTTCAAACGACGGATTCTCGGATTGTTGGTGCACGTGGAATTTACATGGCCCATCATACCCTCAAACTGTCCGTATAAACCAAAATTTCCACACCATCGTTTACTCTACTCGATAATACAATACCCGTCAATCATACCGTAATTCTCACGTGTTTGTCTCTCGTTGTTGCAGAAATGCCATTTACAACATCAGTCTACATGATCTGACGGAAATCGCTGATCAGGTGAGTTATCTTGAGATTTATCAGATTACGTAGCGGTTTTGGCTGTCATACTGTCAAAAAAGCTCCTATATTCTATTTTTTAATAATTCAAATGAATTTGACGATGAGAAAAATAATGATTATTTAAATAATTGAGCGAATAACTACATGCGTTAATATCAATATCATTCAGTTAATTTATTTATCACTTTGTTTATTCATCTTTCTGTCAATTTATTCAACAGAAGATAATTCATTTAGGGGAATATTTTATTTTCTCAGTGTAACGAAAAATTATTTTCTTATAATTATCATTTGCGTACGGAAAGATGTTTTTTAATGGGGATTCAATATTTTCTAGTGAAAAATACATATATAGAATTTTAGATATGGGAGAAATGGTGAATTTTTGATGGGGAAAATGGGAAATGGGAAAAGTGAATATTTGTGGAATATTGATAAACAATTCTCTAAGAGTAGAACAGAGGAGTTCCCTCTTAACAGGATATCAAATATTTAGCAACTACTTCCAATAGAACAGAAACTTCCCAACAAAATAGACAGTCTGAAACCTATAAACCGAGGAAACTTCCAAAAGGTTATTTATATTGACAACAAATATTTGTTTAATTACTGACGCAGAAATCAGATATTGTCAGAATTAAATTGTTTTAAATTTTCCAAGACGGTTCGACTCTGGATTCCTTTAACAAAACCGACGAGAAAAATTAAAATTGAATTCGATGGAAACGAAAATTTAATGAAGATGAAAGAAGAATTCTCTTCTCTAAAAAGAGAACAATTGAAATTTAACAATAAATAATCTCCACAGAAAATCAACTCCATTAGTTGTGTGAAATAACAATAAAAATGGAAAAACATAATAAAAAAGAGATTTGAATGCGCAATAATAAAAGGTGATAACAAACAAAAAAAATTAGAGTAATTACAATTATTATTGCAAATCCGAAGATTTCTACTGGGCGTATAATCAAGAAATTGATGAAAACTCTGATGAGAAACTCGTTAGAATTTTCCCCAGTTAATTATCTGTCGAGTGATTGACAATGGCTTTGGCTAAGAAAAAATTACTCCTCAACTATCTCAAGAGATCATTAAACGCAAGAATATCCCAGGTATGACATCACCACGTCTCCGGATAATGGATTGATCAATCATAATTTTCCAATCTCCACTACTGTCCAGTGAATTAAAACATGTCAATCAAAGACACGTTGCGACTTAATCAATTTCAGGATTCGCCAACAACTGACCCAATTCCGTCGTAGCTTGACGGATTCACATTTCCTGTGTCTAAAAAAAGGATAAAAATTCTAAAAATCCCAGTACTGAAAAAATCCCATGGCCCGAGCTGGACTGCAAATCCAGTGGTTTCAACTTTCCCTTTTTCCAGTTTGTTTGAAACAAAAAGAGAAAAAGGGAATGGACAAAAAAAAATCGAACAGAAAATTCATCTCCAGCATTCAATATTTGTTTCTCTCTTGCATCCTCAGCTAATGGAGGAAAATCCATTTTCCGAGTATCAAACAGAATCTAGAATATCATGGCTTCCAATCAGTATCACATCACTTCTCTTTCAAAACTCTGATTCGCGTTTTCTGCTTGCGGACGCGTTTTCGATTCGTCTGGCAAAAAGGCCTATGCACAACTGGAGTTTGTGATCAAATGGAATGATATTTGTGGTTATCTCCACTGACAATTATGCATGATGTGCTCTTTTGTCATGCTTCCAATCAGACGAGTGCTCATGTACTGACAGATTTCCGATTCATTTACCAACATTTTTCTTGTACCGAATAATTACAATTCGCCAGATTTTGAACAATATCGCCGAATCCATACAAGATAGCGTTATTTATGTAATATATTTTTTGTAGAGGAAATTGAGATACAGAAAAAAGACATTTATGAAAATTTCACCATTTTCCATCAATTCCAAGATATTGGCTAAAAACCGGCGCTTATCCTAAATTGCAACGATAAATAATGCCCTCCCAATGCATAATTAATCAAATTAAAGTATATTAAAATTTATATGAGTGATTTTGTAATTAATATCAGTGAATTTGAGTTGAAAAATTTTTCTATGATCAGTAAAAATAATAGGGAAATCGTTAAACTTGAATTTTCATGATTTTCATCTAAAAATTACTGCTCAAATGTCCGTAAAATTTCAGTTTCTCTCTAATAGTTCAGGGATGACAGTATTTCACCTGTTATGGGGCATTTTATCATACCAATAGAATTTAAGAACGACATCGTCAAACGAGATGAGTCTATTCCTCTCGTTTAGCTGTGATAGTAGAATTGTTAGAATGCGGCTCATCTCGTCCCACAAACGAGTTCCTCGTTAAAATTCGTAACATTTGAAAGCACATCTGGGAGAATGTTTAGTGAAAAGCTGGAAAAAAATACTAATTTACCATTTATTTTATCGGCATTTTTTAAACTCGAAAATCATGGGCCGTTTTAAGCACTCGAACGTCATTTCTGCGCCCTTTTCATCCTTTTTTTACTGTCCTTTTTTCTCATTTCTCTGAATCATCCCCTTTAGAGTGATGGACGCTCTTCCATTATTGACTCTCAAGAGTACTCTCTCAACAAAACCTTTGCATTAATTATTCAAATCGACTCACCAATTCACAAAATACAAATTCACTCTGAAATCATGACAAAACTGATGAATAATGATATGTATTTTCAACAATTTCCAATTTCAATTAAACAATTAACAATTCTGTTGATTTTTAAACAGAAATCAATGAAATATTCGAAATTAATTTCAACTCGCAACTTCGTGATATCGAGGATTGAATTGATATGAATAAATAATTTCCCTGAAATTTTGATTTAGGGAAAATTCGATGATTTATTGTTTAAAATAAAAATTCGCTTCAATATTTGCGAATTAATTTATGAGTGGTTATAATGGTAATATGACGTTGACATGAGCGTGCGGTGGAAAATGTTTTCCCTGTTGAAATCCTCTTAATGACTCGTCATGGAGTAGACCGGAAATGCCTTTTCCTACCACTGGTATTCCGAGCTTTTGCTATCCCTATATATTTAATGGATACACAAAGGTGGTCTTGGCCAGGACAAGCTTGTTGACGGTGTAATCCTGGATCTCTCACGAGGTTCCAGTAAAACGGGCCCAGAGAAAACTTTTACCCAAGACTAATTAAGTCTGCTACCAAGTTTCGACGCTCGCTTTCCGGAACACCGGATGAGAATCAAGAATCGATCCCGGGGGCCCTTGACTCCAACAGATAGACCATTTGACAATTCCAGAGGAGCGTATGTCCTAGAAGTTTATCAATTCCTTTGATGTGAGGTTTTTCTTGCGAGTTTTCTCGGGTGATTACGATCGAGACCTTCAATTTTCCTCTTCCTCTGTCATTTTCCACTTTTTCTCCTCTCGGAAGTTACCGGGAAAAAATAATTACTTTTCCCAAGTAAATTCACTAACGACATGAAAACACTTATTTCAGTGTGAATATTTCCGTATATTGGATCCGTGGGGTATTGAAGGTGAATGGAAAATTGGAAAATGTACACTGAGAGAAATATTCAATAAAAATTACGTGTATTTTCCGTAATTTTGGAGCGAAATGTGGTTGTCGGAAATTTTACGGAACTGTCACGTAATTTTTATCTAAAGTCACGGAATTTTTTCGCGGTGTTCCGTAATTTTTATCTGAATTATCGGTGAAAAATAACGAGACCGTCACTTAAATTTTTCGAATCAACTCCGTAATCGGTAAGTGAACTGAAAGTTCCGTAATTTTTACTAAATATTTCTCTCCGTGTAGGGGAAATTTTTGCAGATATTTTTGGGATTTCTGTTTATTTTTGGGGAATGATTGGAGGGAAATTTATTCTTTCTGAGAATTTCTGTAAAATCATTATACAGGACAAATATTACTCCTAATTGTTTAAACAAGGACAATTGTTCGATGAATATCAATAAATTCGCTGAACAAATCACTAAAAATCGTAAAAATCGTCAATTGAAAATTCCAAAAATGGTAATTAATGACTAATTAAAATGATTAACTATAACTAAATTATACTAATTCAATATTTTTTTCAATTACCTCACAATCTGATTTATTCGGATAAATTATCACTCGTTTTCTCTAATCAAGAAAATCAATTACGAACGTAAATATTTGCGTGCGTCCACTTGTACATATATTTCCCTAATGACAGGTGTCAATTTTTCCGGACACTTGCTGCAACCCGAATCATGTATCCCCGATGAAAAAAAAAATTCGGAAAACCCGGAAAAATTTCGGAAAAATAGAAAATGTCGCAATTGAATTCTCGGCATCATGAAGGCTGTTTATCCCAGAATCTTCATCATCTTTCAAATGCGTTCTATCGGATATCAAGACCGTCATGCGACGTTGCCACGACGTAGTGAGAGGCCACTCTGACCGGTCATTCACTCGTTGCGGGTTGTAAAAAAAAAAAGGGTGATGTAGCGGAGCCCCGTGAACACACATTAAACTTCATGATCCGATATTCCACACACTCAGCATTTGTTCATCCATGAACTAACGACATTGAGAAATTTATAATGAAATTTACTGTGACCCTGAAGAACATTACCAAAAATTGTGGGAAACACGTTGTGATAAATCGCGAGAATTTTCCCCGGTTACGGGATTTTTCGGGAAATTACTGAGTTTTCTGGTGAAAAAGTTTTCCGCTGAGAGTTGACGATTACAAAGTGTCCATTTTTTAAAATTCAATCTGCCATTATTTATGTTCAAGTTTTTGCAATTTTGCGAGGAACGGCCTTTTGACGGGTAATTGTCAATATCATTGGGTTATTACTCCTATAAATTCTAGCTTTTTACAGGTTTAGTGCGAGGGCGTTTAGGTGCCCAATTGTTCGGTTCATGAATCATTCATGAAGCTATTGTTGGAGATGAAAATATTGTTGCTTAACACTTTTTCATCGCGTTGGCAGGCGTGTAATTGCTCAATAGTCT